TGAGGCTCAGAGAGGGTCAGTGTACAAATGGAATCAAGCATGTTAGGCATTCAATGCAGTACCTCATACATAGTAAGTACTCAATAAATGACAGAATTAGTACCATGCAGGAGGTACAGGGTAGAGGGGAGAAGTGGGTATGGATGAGAGGTCAGCCTCCAGGTCTGGGATGGGAGAAGGGTCTGGCATGTTATTCAGGCCCTGGACAGATGGGGCATTGGCTCAGGTGGTTAACAGGGTTTGGCTCCAAGGCTGAACTCATTTGCCTGCAAAGAGGCTGACTCTGGGTCTGACCCCAGGGCTTCCCACCCCAGCTTGGCCCATAGACATTCTTCACATACTTTGGCCCATTCCCTCCTTCCCGTGGCTATGACCTGGACTGGGGACTGAGCCCCTCACCACCCACACAACTAGTCAGGAAGATCTGAGCCCCCTACAGTCCCCAGGGTAGCTGCAGCTGCCCAGGGCAGGACTCCAGGCATCTGGGCTGCAGTGAGCTCACCCCATCAAAATCCAGACACAATGTGGGGGTGGACACATGAGCTCCTGCCTGCCCACCTGCCTCTTCCCTGCTGGTAGATCAGCAGGCTCTGTCTCACAGCCCAAGGCAGAGGAACCAGCATATGTATGGCCCATGGCCCCCAAGTTCTCAGGGAGGGACATGAACCTAGACACATTGTCCCTCCCAACTCCGCCATGCTACAGGCTTCCAGACAACCCTCAAACAAACTGCTTCCCCCAACTTGGCCACAATCCAAACCCAAGACCCAGGGTCAAAGTGCCCCTGCCCTACCCATCTCATGGGCAGCAGACAGACAGCAAAGGACAAGGAATCTGTCAGGGCAGCACTTTGTTGTGCAAACTGCCAAGGTGGGAGAGCTGTACACAAAAACCAAAAGGCCTGTAATCCTCTGCAGTTTGAAAGGGGTGCTGGTCCGGAAAGGAGATGGCCACAGCCTCCTCTGGCATGCCTGGGTACCCGTGCCACTCGGGAGGTCTGCCAATTTCTCACACTCGAGCCCTCGAGGTGGCAGGACCTTCGCCAGTCAGTCATCCAAGTAAGAATAATGATGCCCAAAAAAGGAGCAAAGTTCATCAAGTGCTCATGTGGTGCTGGGAGCCAAGCTCAGGTCTCCATAAGGATCAGCTCAATCAAATGCACAGCAATCCCATGAAGCACATACGCTGGCACCTCCATTGTACAGAAGGAAAAACTAGGCTCAGAGATGTGAAGCTACCTGTCTAAGGTCACACAGCAAAAGCAACAGGAGCTGGGTTTGAAACCAGAGCCCCCTCTGTGGAGGTCACTCCCCTACTTAGCTAGCTCAGAATTGAGATCCCGTCTTCTGGATAATACCAAGGACTGGGACTTAGAAGGGCTATGGGTCCAGCCAGGGCCCACGGGAGCACTGGGTGTGGGTCAGGCCGGGCCTTTAGCTGAGAGCAAGGAACCCAAGAGTTGGGTCTGGAATTTTCTAGTCCCCTCTCTGTCCCTAACTACCCTGTGGGCTTGGACCAACCCCTGACTTCCTTCCCTTTTAGCAAAGCTCACTGAGTCACTATTATGCATGCACTCGGCTTCCACACAGGTCAGCTCAGCCATGAAGATAAGCACCACAGGACTGTGGTTTTCCCGGTTTGATCATTGTTGCATCTCTGGAATGGCAAAGAATGCCTGGCACATAGTAGGTGCTCAGTAAATATTTGTTGACTCACTGACAGACTGAATGAACAGACTCTTCCTGAGGTAGGAATTAGTCCAGGTCACTGAAAAAGAAAGCAAAGTTCAGAAGGAGTCAAGAAGGATTTGCCCCAGGTCACACAGCTAGAATGATCTTGGAGTCTCTATCCCCCATCCATAAAATAGAGGCCGCAGCATCTTCTCCCAAAAGAAATCAAAATCATAGCCAGATCCACAGCCATCAAGTCAATTCTGACTTAGAGTGACCCCACAGAGGGTTTTCAGAACTGGACTCTTGATGGGAACAGTCTGGCCTTTCTCCCTCAAAGTGTTTGAACTGCTGACCTTAGTATTAGCAGCCAACACTTAACCCACAGTGCCACCAGGGCTCCTTTCCTAACGGCTAAATCACATGACTCCTGAAATCCACTGTTGAATCCCTTCTGCCCTTAGATAACTACCTCTGGGCCTCAGTTTCACCAGTTAAAAGGTGGGAGGAGCAGAAAACCTCATTTTGATCCTGTTTCACCTCGTCCTCAGGCTGTTGGAAGAATCAAGTGGAATGAGGGAGTGATCTGGTTTACGAAGCAGGGCCGACAGGTGTTTATGAACAAATGTTTTCCTGAACTCTGAATTTATCCCTCTCTCTCTCCTATGAGTCTAACATGGTCTCTGCTGTGAGGCCCCTAGAACTCATCTGGGGCAATGTATGAATTGGTGCATCCCTGTTCAGGGCACTTCCTCTCAGAGACTCAGAGAAGGGCAGATTTGAACCCTTAACTATAAAAGAATAATCCTAGTCTAGTCTTAAAAATGAAAAATTAAATCACCCGTTTTATATAATTCCAGGGTTACAGTACAGTTAATACTAAAAATTAAGAACAAAAAGCAAAAAAAGGAAAAGGAATAGTTGATCAAACTTGTTCAAAAATTCAATCCAAGTCACGTCAAATTCTATTTACTGAGCCCCTAGGAGTACTGGTGCGGTGCTCAGGATAAGCACTAGACTGCTGATCTCAAGGCCCACCAGCTGCTCCTAGGAAACCTTATATAGGTTTAAACCTTATACAAGAACCGACTCAAAAGTACTTAACGACAACAATGTACGAGTCCTAGTGTGGCGCTGCAGGATAAGCAATGGACTGCAAGGTCAGTTTGAACTGCAAGGTCAGTGGTTCAAACCCACCAGCCACTCCTTGGAAACCCTGTAAAGGTCACTATGAGTCAGCACTGACTTGACAGCACTTTACAACAACAATTATAGTATAGAGTCTCTGTTGGCACCCATGGCTAAATGCTTGACTACTAACTGAAAAGCTGGAGTTTGAGCCCACCCAGAGGCACCTCAGAAGAAAGGCAGATGATCCACTTCTGAAAGGTCCCAGCATTGAAACGCCTATGGAGCACGCTTCTAAACTACTCTGTGTACGTAGAACTGTTATCAACTCATGAACAACTGGTCTGGTTTTGGAGGTACGTTATGCATTGGACATTAGGGATAAATGATGAAGCAGACAGGCATGGAGCTCTATGTTTCTAGGGAAAATAGACATTAAAACAACATAGTGTAAGAGTTCTGAAGATGAAGGATGGGGACTGAGGGAGCCCAAAGAAGGGTCTCCTCACTTAGTGGGGCCCAGGGAGTTATTAGGGAAGGTTTCCCAGAGGAAGCAACGAGCTGATTTGGAGTGAAGAAGTCACTGAAGTTAAGAGAAGGGGATGAGTGGGTATCCAGCAGAGGAAGAGCACATGCAGAGACTCAAGGTGGGAGAGGACCTGGCATGGTCAGGACATTGGAAGAAGTTTGGCGCACAGGAACATGGTGTACAAGGTGACAAAGGATTTTGCACTTTGCCAGAGCTCATGGCTATGCTGCGGACATGGTACTGAGTCTCAGAGCCCAACGCCCCCTCATGCTCCCCTCCTGTCCCACAGATATACACAAATGGACCTCCCCTGGCAGCTGAGTGAGATGTCTGCTGGCTTAGAGGGAGGAAGCAGGAAGCCACTGGGAAATGCCCCCACCCCACCCATGCGCCAGGTGTGGCCAAAGCAGTGGGGAGGGGACCAACAGGAGAAGCTACTGGCCAGGCTGCCCAGTGAGAAGGTCCCTAGGGATTGAACATTATCCACAAGCACTGTCGGTGCCAACAGCGCCTGTGGCATTCACGTGCCCACCTCCTGCCCACAGCCCGGCTTGGTTCTCAGGTTCTCTGGCTGCTGGGGTGGCCCAGATGGCATAAAGTGCTGGTGTGTCTGTCTGGCTTCAGAGCCACCAACGTGCCATACTGGTTGAGTCTGTCCAAGCCCTCCAGATTCCATGAACGAAGCCCATAGAGGCACAGAGAAAACATTTCACAAATTTTTGTGGAAATGGGGCACATAACCAACAATGACCACATCCTGAGCCTGCTAGGTTAGGCCTTTTATTGCTCTCGACTCACACAAGGGTTACATGAGACTCTTATTCTGGTCAACAAGACCCTACATTGCCTAATCTCCAACTCTTCAACCCCATTTCTTACCACGCTCTACCTACTTCCTACTTCTGGCCATTCCCATCTTCTGGTTAGTCCTCCCACACATCAAGCTCCTTTGTACCGCAAGACCTCTGCACTTGATGTGTCCCCTGCCTGAGACACTGGCCCCAGATATTCAATGGCTCACCCCAGCACTTCCTCTGGCTTCTGTTGAAATGTCACGTTTGCCATCCAGGCATGTCCTGTATCAGAACTGACTATAGCTCTCAGTCATTTCCTATCTCTTAGCCTGGGTCTCATTGTTATTCACAGCATGTCAGCACCTGGTGTTTTCTATACGTTTACGTTAATCTATTAGGTGCCTGGTGGTGAAAACAGTCAAGCATTCATTGCTCGGTTGAAAGTTTCACAGTTTGAACGTACCAGCGGTGCCACAAGAAAGGACCTGACAATCTGTGTGCGAGATGATTACAGTTAAGAAAATCCTCTGAGTCAGTCTACTGTGTCCCATGAGGTCACTAGAGTCAGAATGGACTCAATGGCCCCTAGCAACATCTGTCTATTAGCTATCTCCTCCACAAGGGCAGTGATTGGGTCCATTTGGCTCGCAGCTAAAAGCACCTAAAAGTGCATGGTAGGCTCTCAATAATATCTGTTCAATTCATTAATAAATGAAGTTTACAAATGAGGAAATTGAGGCTCTGAGAGGTGACTTGCCTATAGTTGGCAGAGCTGGAAGAGGCAGGACTTAATTCCAGGATTCCAAGATTCCAAACCAGAACTCTATACTACCCAAAGTCTCCCCCTGACATTTCTTTGGCCCTGACTTCTGGAGCTACCCTGCCAAGAGGTCCATCTTTGGGGGATAACAAGCTGTCCATGGTCACTGAGGAAAAACCTGTCCCACTGCCCAGAACCAGCATCCCAAGGGATGAGCAGGGGTCTAGCTCCAGGGCCTTGCGCAAGGCAGCCAGGCAGCCAGGCCTCTGAGAACCACTCCGCGCCTGCTCCGGTGAGCATCTGCAACAGGAAAAAACAGGCTGGAAAAGCAGCCCAACAGCTGAGGCCAAGGCGGCCAACTCCACCTCCCCTACCCCCCAGGGCTTTCCCCAACTGTTTCCTGCACAGGGAGGAGGGGGTAAGCAAGGCTAACTAAGCCCATGGTAGAAGACAGGCCTGTGAGCAACTGAGCTGGAAATAAGAAAGGCTCCTGCCTTTTTACTTGACCCCTGTCCCTCTTTCCTCATGGCTAATGTCTACTCTGGACTCCTGGGGTAGTGCTGTAGGATAAGCACTGGACTGTGAACTATAAAGCTGGCAGTTCAAATCCACCAGCTGCTCATCGGAAAGCCTATCCAGGGTCACTGAGTCAGAACCAAATGTCCACTCAGGACACACTAATTCTGGGACAGTAATAGGTATGGGGGAGGGGCTCCACAGACAAAGCCAAGCTGGTTCTCTGAGTCCTAAAACGGCTTGGACATCATGATTAAGGGATGAGGAGAACACACAATTATTCAGTGTTTCCCAAACTTTCTTAAGAGTCCTGGTGGGGCGCTGTGGGTTAATGAGCTGGACTGCAAAGTCAGTATGAACCACAAGGTTGGCAGTTCAAGCTCATCAGCCATTCCTTGGAAACCCTCTATCGGGTCCCTATGGGTCTGAACCGACTTTACAGCACTTACGAACAACAACAAAGTTTCTTAACCTGGATGCAGAGTTCGTACCACTAGGGTTCCCCAGAGTACATTTTGGGAACATTCATTCAAATGTACTACTTCAACTAGCTATCAACTGTTGTTAGGTGTTACTGAGTCAAGTTTCGGCTCACAGCAACCCCATGTGGTGGAGTAGAATCACCCTACAAGGTTTTCTCTGTGACGCTGTAGGATCAACACTGGACTGCTAGCTGCAAGGTCAGCAGTTCAAACCCACCAGCCGCTCCTCAGAAACCCTATACAGGGTCTCTGAGTCAGAAGCGACTCAATGGCACTTAGTAATAACAACCACCTTAAGGGGGCTGATCATCAGGTCTTACTTCAGCAGAGTTGAACACTTAATCATTGTGCTACTAAGACTCATAGAGACCCTGTACAGGGTTTCCGAGGCTGTAAATCTTTATGGGAGCAGAAAGCCTCATCTTACTCCCGTGGAACAGCTGGTAGTTTCGAACTGCTGACCTTGAGGTTGGCAGCCCAACTTGTAACCACTATACGCTACTAGTTCTCTCTAAATAAGCTTTAGATGTAAGATGTGACCTCCTCCCCCAGGAGTTCTGAAACAAAGTTCTTGAAGACAGAGGGCGATCAGGATGGTGAGGGACTGGTTGGTGGTAGGAGGGGTGTGCTCTCCTCAGAGAGGCCCTTCTGGTCTGAAACCCTGTCATTTGAAAAACCCAATTGGGACCTGCCTCTTTCTTCCCTGGCTGCCAGCCCAGCCCTCTCAGGTGGGGGCAGACAGGGCGGTCTAGTCCTTGCTCACTCCTGGTCTCCTAGGACCATCCAAAGATCCAAAGATGCCTGTCCTCGGAGAGGTCAGCTGTTGAGTGCAGAAAACGGGGCAGGGGCTTGATGGTGGCAGGGGGAGGACAGGGGTTGGTCTCCTGCCAACAGCAGGGTGGGCCATGAAATTCCAGCCCGCCCTGCTCTCCTGAGCAAGTCCAACCTTAGACCCAGCTCTTTGAAATGATGAAGTAGACCTAGATTAGTAGTTTCCAACCTGTCCTCAGACTCCTGGTGTGGCACTGTAGGATCAACACTAGACTGCAAACCACAGGGTTGGCAGTTCAAACCCACCAGCTGCTCCTGAGTTGGAACCAACTCAACAGCACTTAACAACAAGAAGTCTGTCTTCAGCTGCCTCCAGTGCCACCTTTGGGGAGTGGGTAAAGTAGAAGGGGAAAGAGAGAAAGTTTTGGGACAGGCAGAGTTTGGGACACCTCCCTCAAATACTAGCTTCATTTAAAATAAATGCCTCCTTTCCCATTTTATATTCTGACCTTCTATGTAATAGGTCTGGTTCAGCTACTTACTAGCTGTGAGGCCTGGAGCAAGTCACTTCACCTCTCAATGCCTCAGTTTCTCCATCTATGAAATGGGCATGATAATTAGTAGAAATTGTGCCCACCTCTTAGATTTGTTGTTTTAAATTAAAATGTAAATGTTACAAATACGTTGTCATTGCTCTATATTTGCTGTAATCATTACTGCTATTTGATTTGATAAGGGTTGTTCAATACACTTAAAAGCTTCCAATTTAGATGATCCTAAAGGTTCCTTCTCAAGTCCTGGTGTAGCGCTGTGGGTTAATGCGCTGCACTGCAAGGTCGGTTTGAGCTGCAAGGTTGGCAGTTCACGCTCACCAGTCGCTCCTAGGAAACCCTATACAGGGTCGCTATGTGTCGGAACTGACTAGACAGCACTTAACAACAACAACAAAGGTTCCTTCTGGCTTTGACAGTTTAGATCCTTAAAATCTGAAATGTTAAGATTCTAAAATTCTAGGCTGTTGACTCCCAGCAGCAAGGAGGGGGGTGAGGCTACAGGAGGGAATCACAGGTCAGAACGAAATGGCGGAAGCCAGACGGTGGGGAACTGCCCAGCAAAGCATTACTATTACCATCACCATCACTTATTTATTTATACCTGCCCTTCCCACCCTGTTCTAAAAAGATTCAAGGCGGCTGGCTTACAAAGATGCACACACTACAGCAAGAGAAAATAAACTCAACATATATTAGAAAGACTAGGGAAGGGCAGACAGATGGAGCTTGGAACAAAGTGAGTACACAGAAAAACATGCCAAATCTCAGAGGTCTGGGAAAGGGGCCACTCATTTGGTGCTCAGTTTTCCAGTGGCCAATGGGAAGAAGAAAACCTGACCAGTCCCTGGATTCCACATCCCATGAAGTAAAAACAAACCCGTTGCTTAGAAGAAACAACTATTCCTGATACTAAGAGCAGGGGATGTCTTGAGGGTTAAGGCCTACCTGGAGCCCCTTTCTGTCCTTGTCAATGAGGCTAGTGTCCCCTTGGTTTACAGGTTATTGGACGTAGCCCTAGAAAGCTGAAGCCAGGGACAGAGGCTAAAATTATCGAAGATCTGGACTGGCTAGAACGAACGGCAGGCTCAGAAAATACCCTCACCATCCTCACCCCAGCATCCGTGGTCTGGGCAGGATTACCCATCCCTCCCCAAGTCTGAACACCGGCCAGTGCCCAAAATAGCCACAGCAGGAGAGGATGCCAGGAGGCCCCGGGGTGGAGACCCTGGAGAGGCCCACTGCGGTGGAGGGCAGGGTGGGCCAATACACATAGCACTCCCCCTTACACAAAGGGGCACCTTCATGAGGACACATAGCTCTCCCTGGAGTCTCCCACCCACTAGGCTCCCCTGCAGGCGCACACTGCTCACGCTGCTCACGCAGGCCCCTCCACCCCGCCCACAAGGCTGGCCTTCCTGCAGGAGCTAAATGGAAAAGTCTTTGTAGAAACACCGCCTGCACCATATATGGAAGTGCCCAGACAGCCTCCCTGCTTCCCACCTCCAAAGGCAGCCTCCCTCAGGATCCTTCACTCTGCTAGCTCCTTTAGGGTGCCCCAACTGCTGGCAGAGACAATGGGGGTTATTCTGAGCTGCATGGGAGTATTTAAAGCTCTGACTGGGCTCATCCCTGGGGAACAAGAGGCCTTGGCCTAAGCTAGACCTTCCTGAAATTGTTGCTGCACAAACTGGCTGCAGCTACAGCCCCTATTGTTCCCAACCTCTCAGGCTAATCCCTGAGGCCCTACAGGATTCAGCAAGGGTACCCACTAGACAGCACTTAAAAACAACAACCCACTCTTCCAGGAAGCCTAGAGGAGTCAGCACCATTACAAGAGTTCCTCTAAGGAGCCCAGGTGGAGCAGTGGTTAAGCACTCAACTGCTAACCAAAAGACTGGTGGTTCAAATCCACCAGCCGCTCCACGGGAGAACGATATGGCAAGCTGCCTTTGTAAAATTTATAGCCGTGGAGACCCTATGGATCAGTCCTACTGTGTACTGCTGCTGTTGTCATTAAGTGCCATGGAGTCGGTTCAGACTCATAGTGACCCTGTACAGGATTTCTGAGGAGCGGCTGGCGAGGTCAAGCGCTTATCCTAATGGTGTCACACCAGAACTCCTTACTCTGTCCTGTTGTTAAGTGCCATCGAGACGGTTCCAACCCATAGTGACCCTGTATAGGGTTTCCGAGGAGCAGCTAGCTGGTGAGCTTGAACTGCCGATCTTACAGTTCAAACGGCTTTACAGTCTAGCGCATTAACCCACAGCGCCATGCCAGGACTCCACCTCTGTCCTAGAGGGTCACTATGAGTTAAAATCAACTAGAATGGCGATGGGCTGCGTACTTGGTTTTTGTTTTTGATCTAGTGCTCCAGGATGTCCCCAGCACCTTACTTAAGACGCAATGCTGGGAAGCAGAAGAGTTGGGTCCTGGTCCTGCTCTTGTTGCTGTTAAGTGCTGCTGAGTTGCTTCCGACTCATAGTGGTTCTACATCTTGCTGTCTCTGGGCAAGTTCTTTAGCACTCACGAGTGTCTAAGTGCTTTGTGATACTGATGAAGCTGAGTGTGGGTGTAGGGTGGAATGTAAGCTGGACAGGACCTTTGTCACTGCTCTTTTTCCAGTCCCAGGTACGCAGGAGGTGCTAAATGAGTATTTGTTGACTGGTATGGATTATTTGTGGAGTATGTCTATAGCTCCCATCAAACACGCACAGGGCTAGGTGTACTGGTGGCTAATACTCTTTGATGATAATATTGCCAGCTCTCAATTTTGAGCACTTAGAACATACTTGGCCTTACACTAAGCACTTTACATTGATTATCTCATTTAAATTGCTCAATAATCCCAAGAGGTGGAAACTATTATTATCCTATTTTACAAATGAGACGATGGGAATTCCTTCCAAGTGGTTAAGGGGAGAGTGCCTGAAGTTCTAAAATGAGTAAGTGGCCAAGTGGGACTCAGACCAGAACCCCAATGCCTGATTATAGAATCCTGCACAAACACACCTGGAAAAAGACAGGGAAAGAACACTGAGCTGGGAGCCAGAAGTCTGAATGCAGCCATAAGAAGCTGTGTGACTTTGAGTAAGTCACTTGGCCTCTCTGAGTCTGTTTATCTCTTCCATAAAAATAGAGGTGTGTGGACCCAGTTGGGGACCTGGTTGGCAAGCAGTGTGAAGAGGCCTGGGGACTCTTGGGCCCAAAGTCAGTGGCGTGGCCACGGAGGACTCGAAGAGGAGAGTGGAGCTACCGGCTGATGGGAAGAGAGGACATATGCACAGGAGCGCCCACACTTGCAGATGATACCCACGTGACTTGGACCGGATGACTGGATGATCAGAGCTCAACCAGGAGAGGAAAGAAGAGGGGGAAAAGAAATAAAGAAAAAAAAAAAGAGTGAGCTGATACAGTCTGATGAACTTGACCTATACCTATGGAGCAGCGACTCAAAAGAGGCAACAAATCCTCACAGCAAGAAACATTCACACACACACCCACACACAGAGTAGATGGAGAAGGGCAGCTTGGACATTGGATACTCAAATTGGGAGTGGGGGACTACAAAGGCAAGAAGTGACTGGCTTACAAGCTTTCAAGAGGGAACCAGGTGCTAGGGAGCATGGCAGAAGGCAGAATCTCCAGTAGGTACTATTCAATCTGTCTGGGCGGAGCTGATGAAAGGAGATACAGATGGGTAACTCGTGATAACTGTAGTGAATAATGCTTATCAGGACGAATTATGAGGGTTGGAAATGCAAAGGTAGACGTTTTGTAACAAGGAAGTAAGTAATTAATTCTCCAGGATAGGAGCGGAGGCCTCTGGGACCATCAATGGAGAAGAGCTGAGAGCGGGACCCTACCCAGAGAAACAGAGATACGTGAGATGGAGACAGTGATGATGACGTGGAGTGATGAAGCGACTGGGGACTTTGGACCCAGAGAGGGAAAGGGACTGTGGGCCGAAAACTGGGGGGAGTAGGGGGAAGTGTAGGGGGCGGGTTTCTGGGATATACCCTTTGGGTGGTTGATGATGCATGGAGGGGACTGGAACCATCGCAGTGAGATGATATACGATGGAATGAATGTAAAACTGAAGTTCTCCCATGTAAACTATCACATAATTCACAATAAAACATTAAAAAAAAACAAAGGTGTGATTTCTTATTTTTGAGGGTTGTTAGATCAAAGGAACTATGAAATGTGACCATGTCCCCCACATTAGCCCAAACCCCCTTCCTGGGGCAAAGGTTGTGAAGGATGCTGGGAAGAGGTGCTGGGGAGGACAAGGGCCCAGCACTGAGCTGGAATGAAGCTCAGCAGCTGCTGACAAGGGGAGGAGGGTGAGAGTTCTGGGCTGGATCCAAGCAGGGGGAGAAGGGGTGGGCTGGGAAGTCACCTCTGGCCCTTCTCCCTCACCCTCCCTGCTGACAGCTGCTAGGGCCACAGAGCTGCTAGGGCCACAGAGCCTCACGCCCCACAGCAGGAGGGGTGGGGAAAGGGGCAGGCTGTTTGGGGCCATCTCAGACCTCATGCTTCCAACTACTCAAATCTGGCTGGACCCACTGGCTAGGGTGCCCCACCCCACAGCCCTTTACCCAGATCTAGGGAAAGCATAGGGTGGGGGTGGAGGGGTAAAGGAGCCACACAGTTGGAGCAAAGGTCTGTGGGCTGAAAGAGCAAGCTAACTATGTCTTGCCAGGAGCCTGGGCTACCCTGTAGACCCTGGGGGGAGGAGGTGGTGGGCAGGGCTGGGTGGAACAGCGTCCTAGGAGAGAGGCCTGTGGCTTTCCTGGGAATGGTCCCAGTTTCAGGCCCTTTAGGGAGCCTTCTTAGGAAGCTGAGAACTCAGCTCAGCCTCATCCAGCCCCGCCCCAGGCCCCTCTCAGTCCCCTCAGATCCTGGTAGGCCCAGCTCCAGGCCCAGCTTGGACTAAGCCTTGTCAACCCACTCCAACCCACAGGAACCGCTTGCTCTCTCCTCTGAACTCTCCCGCACCCATAATTACTACTGACCATATTTCCCAAAGCAAAAATCAAGAAACAGCTCAACAAAGGATTTTCAGGCCACTTTCATGTATCAGAGGCAGCTTGGGAAATGTAGTTTGGCTGCAGTGGTATACAGATTTCTGGGGCATCACAATAGTTGGTTGGGAAGATAGACTGTATACTGGGAGCTGACTGGACACTGTGCAGTACAATCCATTTTCTGTGTGAGTGACATGCTCGTGGACAGCAGGACATGGTTTTGCGCCACTCAGACCAGGGTTTGAGCCCCAGGCCAATAATGTGCTAGCTGTGTGACCCTACATAAGTCACTTGACCTCTCTGAGCCTCTGTTTCCTCCTCTGTTAAATAGGGATCTACCTCACAGGCCTGCTATGAAGATTCAACAGGACAATCTAAGAGCTAAGCCCAGTGCAGGGCACATACTAAGTTTAAGTATCACGTCTTTCTTCCTCCCTTTATACACAGCAAAAGCATGCGTTTTATAGACTACACCTCCCCTAAGAATAAATCCTGTTCCACCCACTCAAGACTAGGTAAAGCTTAAGAGAGAGCAGCATGTAAAAAGCCCCAATGTATTCTTAGATCCTATTCCCAACACCTGGCACATGGCCCTCACTTAACAGAAACCCAGACCCACAGCAGGGACATCACTGGAGACCAGTGTTGGGGGGGAGGGGGGGTCTAGGTCTAGACTCACATACAAGGCGGCTTCAAAAAGCTCATGGAAAATTTCCATTATCTTTTAATTCCATTTTCCCAAGAACTTTGAAAAGCCCCCTCGTATACAGTTGGAAGATAAATGGAAGAATGTATGTGGAGGGCTTAGAACAATGCCAGGTCCACTGCAATTGCTTGGTATGTCGTGAATGCAGGCTCAGAACCTAGATGTTCTGGCTGCTTAACACAGGGTCTTTCACCTGTCACAATGTCTCCTCCTTCCCTTCCTGGGGGATAGGCCTGGCCAGGGCTCTGGCAGGGTAACATTAGGCTCCATCTTTGTTGGTGGTTGACCACGGCCTGAGACCCCCGCCTCAACTTCTGGAGCTTAGAGCTCATCCCTTCTTCCCCAGACAAATCCCTAGCCCCAGACAGACAGGACCAGGCAAGGAAACAGCAAGAGCTGGCAAGAGAGGGGTGCGTGTCCTTGGCAGAGAGAAGGCAACCTTCCAGGGACTCAGGTTACCGGAAATGGTAAATCTCCCTGTTGCCTGTCACCTCCAACCAGGAATGTCTGCTGCCTGAGGGAACATCCTGTCCACCTGCCCCAGATAGCCTAGGGACACCAAGGACTAGGGCCCAACCTCTGGGCCTTTGGGTTAGACTCTGCATCTCTACAACTAGAGGGTTCCTGCCATTCTGGGGCCCTGGGCACTCACTGTAACTGACCAATAATAGGAGAGCACTGGAGGTGGGATCCTGAAAAGACTGAGACCACTGCTAAATCTGATCTGCTCAATCCTGTCAAATGTGGAATGTGAGCCCCAGGTCTGGGTGAAGGCTGTGATCCTGTTCCCCAGTGTAGGAGGCAATACAGTGAGTTTTGGGGTAGGGGCTGGTCAGGTAGTCATGGGCAAGTCACTGCAGCACTCCCCCACCCATCTCTGATTGTTGACAGTGAGCCCCCATCATGGATCTCCATGAGATTCAAGGAGCTGAGCTGTGAGTCTTAGCACAGGGCTCGGCACGCTGTCAGGGCCCAATTTAAAGTGGCTATTGGGAAGCGTGGGTACGCATGTTAGGAAGGTGAAAACCACCAATAACTGAATGTGAATAGACACTCAGGAACTGACATTTTATCAAATGAGGGTAGTGCCCAAAAGGAAAATACAGCAGGCTGAGGAAGATGAGCTTTTTACACAGGTTAGGGAAGATGAAGAACGTGCGGGTCCCCGGGTGGTGCAAGTTAATACTCTTGGCTGCTAACTGAAAAGTTGGGGGTTCAAGTCTACCCTGAGATATCGCAGAAGAGCTGGTGATCTATTTCTGAAAAAACTCAGTCATTGAAAACCCTATGGAGCAGAGTGCTACTCTGACCCACATGGTTCCCCCAAGAGCCGGAGCAGACTCCTCGGCAATTGGTATGAAGGGAGCGAGGAGTAATACACATGTCCTTCCAGGCACAGGGAACAGCAACTGTCCTGAGGCAGTATTCTTGGAATATTCTGGAAATAGTCCAGAGGAGAGTGACCTAACTCTCCTAATTGCCCTTCAAGGTAGGTATAATTATCCCCAATCCCCAGGTGAAAGGACCCAGCTTGCCCCAGGCCCCAGTAGGGGAGGTGGGGGGAGGATTCTAGTCCTCAGCTCCTTAGAGCTCCAGAGGCGAGAACAAAGAAGGAAAAACAGAGAAGGCGGCTGAGTCAGAGTTCTGATTCCTTGGGATTCTGAGCATGCTACATCTCTCTGGGTCTGAATCCTCATCTGCTCAAGGACCAGCAATCCCTGCTCCATCCACCACCCCGAAGATAGAAGAAATGCCAAATGAAGGGAGGTGAAAGTGTGACTCTGAGAGGTAACCTAGAGCTTCTCAGGGGTCTCAGACCGCAAGCTTCTTCCCCTGAGGGTCCTCCACCTCCTAACAGGCATGAATGCCGAGTGCAGACTCCAAGAACCTGAACCAGCCCCTGCCTGGCCCCCCAGAGTTCTGCCTAGGCCTGCTTGGGCCTTGTCCTCACTCAGACCGAGGGCCCAGGCCCAGCCACCGAATGTGCCCTGCACGCCAACTCCAGGTGTCTGTTGTTCTCCCAGCCCCCAGGACCCAGCCCAGGAACAACTCCTTGTATCCCCCACCAGGCAGAGGTCCAAACTCAGTCTTTGTTCCCAGGGGTGCCAGAGCAGGCCAGTCCTTGTGGGCACTAGGCCAGGCCCTAAGGCCCAGGCCAAGTGCAAACAGCATGCTTGGCGCCCAGATAAGGGCGTGTTGGAGTGGGCAGGCTGCCCACTGCCCCCGTCATAACAAATCATCTCCACCCTGCTGAGAGGGGCCCCAGCAGCCGGTACCTCTGCGGTAAGCTGTGCCCTGGGGACTACCGGGGTGCCTCCTCCCGCACCCCTACCCTCTAGGAACCTGCAATGGGAATCTCAGCGTCCAGATGCCAGCGGTGAAAGGTGAGATAGATAAGCAGAGACCGGCTGAGGGGAGTAGATGGGAAAGTGAAGTGAGGAAGCTTGGGCTGAGCGAAGCAAAGACTGACATTTTTAACACTACGGGTTTTGTCAGGGGAGGAAAGGTCCCTAGATGCTGGCCTACAAACCTAAGGAGGAGTCCTGGTGGTGCAACTGGTTCAGCACTGGGTTGCTAACCAAAGGTCAGCAGTTCAAACCTACCAGCTGCTCCACGGAAGAAGACTAAGACAGCTGCTCCTGTAAAGATTTACAGCCTCGGGAATCTTGAGGAACAGTTCTAATTTGTCCTATAGTGTTGGTGTGTGTCAGAATTGACTAATAGCAGTGAGTTTATGAACCTAAAAGTTAGTGGTCTGAACCCACCCAGCAGAACTGCAGAAGAAAGGCCTGGCTTTCCATAAAAATTACAGAAAAAAAAAAAAAAAAGCAAGAAACTCATGGAGCCATTCTACTATCTAATCTAGGGTTACAATGAGTTGGAATCAAATTGATGGCAACAGATCTGATTTAGTTTTTTACGGAAAGGCTAGTGAGACAATTTCTTCCTCACTGCTGAGGAAAAAACAGGAGGGCAAGAGGTAATTCCTGTCCCCCACACCCTCCATAAAAGACCAAAGGAGTCACTCAGTCTTCCCCAGTCCAACAGAACAGGGAACAAGCAATAATGACAACAGCGACTCCTTAATGAGCCAAGTAATGTGTGTCCAGCACTATATATACTGGCACTGTCCAACAGATGTTTCCGCAACAATGCAAATGTTCTCTATCTGCGCTTTCCCATGTGGCCATGGAGCACTTCAAAGGTGGCTAGTGAAACTGGGAAAGGAAACCTTTAATTTTAAAAACTGTAATTTCATTTAAATGAATTAAATGCTCAGTGTAAATAGTCACACACGTGGCTAGCAGCTACCGTACTGGACAGTGCAAATTATACCATCAGTGATCTTTAAGTCGAGCCTGTTGTTGTTGTTAAGTGCCGTCGAGTCGGTTTCGACCCATAGCGACCCTGAACAGGGTTTCCGAGGCTGTAAATCTTTACGGGAGTAAGTCGAGCCTAGAGGAGAACAAAGGAGGCAACTGAGGCTGGCCCAAGGCCACACAGCTGGTAAGCAGCTGCAGAGGCATAATCAGAAACCAGGCTTGGTCACTCTGCTCTGCTCCCCATCCACAGTTATTGTCAATGTTAAAAAAGACTAACGGAAATCGTACGTGTGTAGGCGATAAGGCTGCCCACTTAATCAAGACCTGAAGTCTCTTTGCTTGTGGCCCAAATTCTGTCAGCTCTACTGATTATCACACGCTGACCAGAAGCACTGACGGGCCATTTATAAAAGTCTTTTGATTTCTTGGCATGAAAAAAAGGCAGAATGATGATGAAATATTCTGATCAACAATCCCA